AAAATTTAAATTTAAATTTTTAGATAAAACTCCGTGAAAAAAGCATATGGAAAGCATTGTTAAACCAAATCTGCTGGTTCTTCGCATTCCCGACTCACGTGAAAAGCGTAAAGTCAAAATTAAGAGTGAGAAATGATTTTATTGTTGCATATTAATGGTACATTTAATATTTTTGAATGTTTTTTTGGCTTATAGAAAAGTAGTCTACAATTTCTTATATTTTTGTTGGATTTGCTTTCAGGTCATTCCTAAATTAGAGAAACTGTCATTAACCAGTGATGACGTCGCAATGATATTTGATGAGCAATTTCCAAGGGACCTCTTTTGCAATGTTAAAGTTCTTCGTCTTCTTACTTATAAAGATAAATCACTTTTGCTTTCAATTCGCTTCCTTCAATGTTTCCGCAAGCTGGAAAAGCTTCACGTAGCTGATCGTAATTTGAAGGAGTTATTCCCTTCTGAAAGAGACGCTGATGGTCAGGAGAACTGTGTGGGAACACAGTTACATATTAGAGAGTTGAATTTGGAATCACTTTATAATCTGAGGCATATATGTAACCAAGACTCAAGAGGAGCTGACCTAATTCTTCAAAATCTTAAAATTCTGAAAGTGGAGTTCTGTTATTGCTTGATTAGCTTAACAGCATCTACGGTACCTTTCCACAATCTCACCACTTTGGATGTACAGCATTGCAAAGGGTTAAGAAATTTGGTTTCATTCTCAACAGCTCAAAGCTTGGTTCAACTTGAAACAATGAGCATAACAGATTGTGACTCGCTGACTGAAGTAGTTGGAGACAAAAGAGATGGCTTAGAAGATGAGATCATTTTTATGAAATTGAAAGTTTTGAAACTCATGCGGTTAAGAAAGCTCACAAGCTTCTGTTCAAGACTTAATTTCACCTTCAATTTCCCATGTTTAGAACGCTTGGTTGTGAGTGAATGTCTCAACATGGAGACCTTCTGTAAGGGAGTCCTAAAGACTCCAATGCTGCAGAGAATATCACTGAATGACTACGCTGAGGGGCGTCTGGTGGGTGAATTGAATAGCACCATAAATCAATTGTATGAAGAAATGGTACGGATTCAACTATAAAATTAGAAATGTTTTTATCTTGCAAGCCCTTTATTAATCATATCATCAAATGAAAATTGAAAGTTATTAATTCTTTTTTTTTTTTAATTGTATTCTTGTGCTATAACTAGAAATGTTTTGCATTGAAGGTTGGATATGCTGGGTTAAGCCATTTGAAACTCTCGGAGCTTCCTAAATTGATGGAAATATGGAACAAGAACCCCCAAGATATATTGAATTTCCAATCGATTGTTTCTCTGGAAATTTGTAACTGTGATAACTTAAGATACGTCTTAACTCCATCCATGGTGTTGAGTCTTTCTAGTCTCCAGTCATTGTGGGTACGAAACTGTGAAATGATAGAGCAAATCATCACAGAAGAGGAAGTTATAGAGGTACCAGAAAATAAAATGATATTCCGCAAACTGGGCACCCTTGCTCTGGAGTCTTGTCCCAACTTGGTAAGTTTTGTTGTGGGAAGTTATAAACTTGAGTTTCCATCATTGTTTTCCATCGAGATGGCTAATTGTCCAAAGATGGTATCATTTTCAACATTTCCAAAAGTGCAAGAGAAAGAGACAACTGTTGGAGGAAGTGAAGAAAGGCCTGATATCCCTACTGAACCATTTTTCACTGATCAGGTCAGCTTAACATTAAATTCCTATGGGTCAAAATCATTGCAGGAGCTTCCAACCTTAAATCTTGATGTTTGCTTAGATGCCTTTAATTAGACATATATTTTGAATTATATTGGGACAAAGAATCATGTGATTGTTTT